TGTACATCAGTGAACGAAGAAGGATCTGGATTCTGGACGTTTATTTTAGACCTTAGCTCTTTATATTTTGTGGTACTGCTGGGAAAAACAGTTATGCAACAACAGCAGCTGCTTTACAATGGTTTTATGAGCAAGAGTAAGTGAAAATAGTAAAATGAGTCACAGTGTAATTTAATGCAGATTACTTTCTTACAGCTCGGTAAGAAATGCATGTTAGCCTTTCCTTTTACTTGTCTTGTTGACCATGTTTGTGTAGTTTAAGAGGCTCCTGGGGCCCATGGTTCACTGTGTAATGACACTGCTGGCTTCTGTTCCCATTGGCCCGACTGGGAAACGACTGATTTAAAACTCTGGGTTTAGACACAGCAGGGCTAATAATAAGCCCTTAACATGTCTATAGAGCCTGCACTGGGTCGTAACTGTAAACTGTGACTTGCTGTGGTATTTTTGTTTTATGTAAATTGTTAAAAAGATTAATTCTCCCCAGGGGTTCCACAAGGTCTTAAAAAGTCAACATTTTTAGAATCTGAATTTCAAATACGATTAAATATTTTCCGCTAAAATACAATGTTCTTTTAAATACATTTAGGTTATTATGTTGAAGTTCATTTAACACCAGTGGGAAAAACTGTATGTAGTTTGGGAGATAACATGACATTTTAAAGGTTTATACTCTACTTGGCCTCTTCACCTTACCTTCAATAATTGGTAAATGTTCATCTTTGGACCCAGTTGTTCCAAAATCTTTTGTACTTGACATAGATTTAAGGTTTGTATTCATTCCCTGCCTCTCTTTCTGCCTCTCCAGTGGTTATCCATGGGATTTGGTTCTACGATAAGGAGGACTGCCAGCGCATCGCCCAGAGGATGAAGATGTAAGTCCTGTATCACAATAACCTTATATATACAGCACCTTAAGAAAACAAATGGGAATAATAACAATGAGCAATAAGTTATTTTCCAGACGAAGATTGTTTGATATCAGAGTCTGCACATGACAGACTCCTCGTGTGTGCTAATGTTTCTGTGTCTAAGGTCCAGAGACAACATTTAAAGGTTTTAGCTAACAAGGGACAGTAGTATGTTTGGATAAACGTGGCTCCAGGGGTGACAGAGAGTTCATCTTAGTTTGTATAAAACATACTGTAGATGTAAGGATAACGTGATGCTCTTAATCTGAACTGTACCATGTCACTACAGTTATCACATTTTTTGGGAAGAAACGCATGTGTGCAAGTTTTCCTTATGGAGTCCTTTCTGCAGTCTGACCCAGCAGGAGCAGGTCCTGGCTCAGTCTCAAGGCGGTTGGCTGTCCCCAGCTGGAGGAGGAGTTGTTATTGGACGCGGAGGAGTAACAGGTGGTGGTGGAGGAGGAGCTAGAAGTGAAGGAAAGGGGGTAGACATCATCCAGATGTTGACCAAAGCACGCACTGAGTATGACAAGGTTGGCAAGGTAAGTTTATTTGTGACGCATTGTTCAGCAAAAAAAAGCAATTTAAGCTGATGTACCTAAGACTTGGAAGTCCCGAAGACAAGATATAAGATAAATACAAGACAATATGACAAATAGTATTAATAAAAGTAAAACAAAATTAATGATTACACATTTAAAATTGAATATGACAGATTTTCAAGGTATGAATTTGTTTTAATAATTAGCTTTAATAAAAATTAAAAAAACTGAATGCTTCTCTGTATGTTCTTTTGACTTTATGATTATTAAGTTGACACACGAGGTCGGGACAGTTCAATATTTGGAAGATTAACAGATCAAACATATATTTTGTAGAGAAAAAACTAAAACTGTAGGTTTTTGGTTGGAGATATAACAAACTGAAAATTACAAATTGACATTTTTAAATGCCTTGAGAGATTTTGAATCTGGAAAAATATCAACTCAATCTTATTCGTTCCCCTGTTTTCATTTGTTATGTTTTTCAGGAAAATTCTCCATCTGAGCCAAAAGAGATTGGTGGCAGCAGTGTTCTGTGTGGAAACCCCAACCTGATAAAACCAATACCTGTTAAACCTAACACTCAGGTGACACACATAGATCCTATCAACTTCCAGTCAATCCTTAAGTACATTGTCCCCTGATATCTAATTATTCAATTCAAGATTGAATTTTAGCCCCTTTTTTAAAATAATTTCCTGTTTGACTATTTTGTTGAATACACTTGAGAAATAGCTGAAGCGTTTGTTCTCCCTCTAGTTCTCTCTTTCCACTCCTGCCTATTATTCGTCTTCTCTCTTATCCATCTCTGTGTTTGTTTCCTCCAGGACAGTGAAGGGGCTGAACCCAAGTCTCTCTCTCTGGCCACTCTCTTTGGATCTCAACCTCAACGCTCACCCAAGCAAGACTCAGTCTCTCCTGTGTCAGTGGTAGGGAAAGTCTCTCGCCCTCCTGTGGCCCGCACGTTGACCTATGACGATTCCATGAACTCTGGCAGAAGTGTGACCTCAAAGGGAGGTAACGCTGGCTATTCAGACGGAGGGATAAGGGTCGTTGTTGCAGGCCTGTTGCCGAGTCCCACTTCCTCTCATCATCATCAGCAGCAGCAGCAGCAGCAGCAGCAGCAGCAGCAGCAACACTGCCCAGCCATCCAGAAGCTCATGCAGGGACAGAGAGGGGTCGTCGGGATGCTTCAGACCGTGTCAGAGTCCCCTGAGAACAGGCTATGCGACAACGGGGTGCCACTGGAGCATCACCATCACCATGTTCACCCTCACCCTCATCATCATCAACAGCAGCAGCACCACCACCATCATCATCATCACCATCAACAGCAGCAGCAGCAGCAGCAGCAGCAGCAGCAACAGCAACAGCAGCAACTTCAACTCGACCCAATCAAGAGACTTTTCCAAACCCAGCCACCTCCTCCCCCTGCCACCTCCTTCCCCTCTGTTGCTCCCCCCTGTTGCTCCAACCCCCCTCCTATGCAGCAGAACCCCCACCTCTTGTCCCAGCCCATCATGGTGGATTCTGGGTCATGTTCCCACCTTCAAGTGCAACAAAACCAGCAGCTGTTTTACAGCCTCTCTAAGCCTCAACTAGAAGCTCAGCACAACAGCCACTCAGCTTCGACTCTACAGGGAGAAGGTGAGATGTCTTATCAAGCAGCAGTTACAGCAGAAATCATATATAGGAGACTTAAATTCTAATTGAATTATAAAATTAAAAAATGTTCTTTCTTTACCAGGTTTGTTTCCATCTCAGGTGACCAATGACAAATCTTTTCATCCTCCACAAGGTATTATATCAGTTTTGCACATAGTTATCACTCACCTTGTCTTATCTGTTTGATGGCACACTCACTTGACAGAAGTTATACACAGATTCCAGTTTACTCTTATAAAAAGGTTGTGACAGGAATGGCAGCTACATTTGAGAAAACCTGCATGAATTCAAGTTGTATCTTAACTTCCAGTAGAGTTTGCCATTTCCTTAAATAAATGTTATGTTATGTTCTGTATAAACTAAAAGTCTGTACCATATTGTTTGCTGATGTTTTGGGTTAATCTAATTCATGAGGCATTTGCGCATGATATCTCTGTATCGATTCCTCTATGTAAACTGTGAAATGCCTATAAGATGCCTGTTCTATATGTGTAAGCTGCAGAATATTTTTCTTTCATTGGGTCTCTGGTTTTCTTTGGTCAGGTCTGTCCTCTCAGATGCCAGGTGTGGTGTCTCCTCATGAGCTCCTCCATAAGCTCCAGTTGGTCCAGCAGGAGCAAAGCCTGGCTTCCAGTGATCCTCCTCAACTCTGTCCAGGACTGGCCCCTCGATTCCTGGGGCCTGCTCCGAGTCAAAGTGTCGGCCCAGATCCAAATCAGATCCCATCCACCGCAGGTCAAAAGGCTGCACTGCAGTTTCAGGTAAGCTCTGTGGGCGAACACTGCTCTCTTCTGTTGTGGAAAAGTGAAATCAAATTACCAACAGCATGCATGACACTTAAAATCTATTCTTTAAACTATACTACAACTGCAAAAGAGTACTATTAACTGTGCCTGTCTGTTCAGGTCATCTCCCCCCAGCGGATACCAGCCACTGTGGCCCCCACCATGCTCCTCTCTCCCAGTGTGTTCTCTCAGACAAAGTCAAGCGGTGGGTTGATGGCAGTCGCCCCTGACAACTGCCCCATCCCTCAACCCAGAGCCCCGCTGCAGGAGGAGGTCAGAGTTCTGTCCAGAAGTCAGATGCAAGCCACACTGCTGCATCTGATCCAGGTAAATGAAAAATACTGTCAGTAACATGGATGCATTCTACGTTAATAGATAGATAGATAGAGTACTTTATTCATCCCCGGAGGGAAATTAAGGATAATACACACTGTGTGTGTTAATACACACAAACGTGATGTTGATGATGACCCATGCTTGTGTGTTTCAGAGTGACAGCTCCTTCATGGACATTATCTATGAAACCTACATCAGCCGCTTCGCTAACGACTCCAGCACCAAGTACCAATGACTCTTTACACCCTCTGTCTATACAAGCACCCTGTCCAGATCAGTGAGGCTTATTCCCACCTGATCTGGATGTACAACTTCCTCCCCCTGAATCCCACTCCAGTCACATGCACACGCATATGCACAAATATCAGCTCTGTACTGTATAACCAGGCAACCTGACTCTTAACTTCAAACCATGTAGCTCAATTTACTTAAAAAACAAAATGTTTGTTTCCATGAGAAATTAAGAAACTTTTCTTCATGCGGATCTCCAAAAAATGATTGGTACAAATGTGGCAGAACCATACAGTCTTGACCTCACCTGTACTTCAGGAGAAATGTAGCCTATACTGTAGTTCACTCTTACTGAAAACAAAATATGCAGCCACTTCAATTTTGTGTGTATTTTGTCTCGTCAAAATCTGGAGTCTTTACTTCATCGCGAGTGTCTAACACCAGCCGGCCCCCTGGCCGTTAACAAACAAGTCTTCCTTGAACTTGTGCTCAAGAATCTGCTCAAACTGGCAGAAATGGAAACATGTTAAACATGTTTTGTTAATATTCATTTGGAGAAGTCTTATTGGTTTAAACGTCAACAGAGTTTGCCGGATTTTAATTTACAATTTTTTAAAAGTCAATTCTGAGTAGTCTACTTTCTAAAGGAGTTTTAATAAAAGATGATTTACTGTCCAGATTGAGGTTACTATTATGATATTATGTCATTTTGAATTTTTTTTACAGCACACACCAGATGTGATATTTGCATTATTTTAGTTGACTGTCTGAAACCAGTGTTGTTCACCAGCACATTAGTTTGCCTGCAGAAAACTGTATCCACACAAAGTTCATAACAACCTCGGCCTGTGCTTTCTCTGAACACATGAAGTTATGTCCCGGTGTGAAGGAGATATGCTCGTTTAATTTCACATACTCTGGTGCTTTAATAGTCTTATTCCTCCTCTACTGAACATTATCATTAAAAAAGGAGTTCAAAATGACATGGTTTTCATTTCACTTGAAGAAACAAGGAAACTACAGGAGCTTTTCAGCCTGCACTACCTCACAGAGAGCTAGTTTAGAGGTGTACCTGTGTTTTAATTATTAAGAGCAGATTGTCATTGATGTTATTGGGCATTTTTATTTCAGTCAGAGAAGAAAAAGAAAGAAAGGAGAAGTATCCAACACAGAAACTGTTGACAGACCTTCAAAAACTGAAGTGTCACCTTAATGAACCTTAAAATATAATAATTTTGCATTTATGCCACAACACTCATCCTAATAAATACAGAAAGTACTTGATCAGATGGTTTACAGTTAAATAAATTATTGATTGGTTAAAAAGAGTTTTAATGCAATAAAGAGCGATACAGAAAGTATATACAAACACATACTTTAATAATGTTTTGGATTTTACAGGCTTGTCCAAGACAAATATTGTATAAAACATTATACACCTTTACATTATATGGGCTGTAAAAAACAAGCAAAACGATACATATGTTTCATTTTTTTCAGGATCAGGGTTTGAAATGTGAGTTTAGCTCCTGAGCTAATTTAGAGACTTCACAAAAACAGCAGCAAAAAATAAAATACAATTTAGAGAAAAAAGAAACAGAAAATATTTTTCTCCCTATTTTTCTATGACTCAAAGCGTATCGTTCTCACAATAGAAATAAACAGCCTGTGACATGACATATGTATATCGACAGTTCTTCATCAAAGGGTGTTATAATTCAAAAGATGTCACCTGTAATCTTTTTCCGAACATGTCATTTGAAAAAATCACTCGAATGTTGATGGAAACATTTGTATTTCTTTTTATCAGGAATGTTTTTGCTCGTACAGAAACTGGAATATATTTTAATTGGATATTAAATGTTCTCAAACTGCCTCTGTTGTTTCTTTCCCTTCAACATCTTCATATTTCACCTGGATGATGTTGATAATTATTATTCAAGATGGACGCAGCCCTACAGTAACTCTAATCACATTGAAGGTAAACACGTTATTGCTTTAATATCACATCAGTGTTTTCTTTTGCCATTATTAATAGTGTTTCACAATATCACTGGTGATTACTCTGCTGTTATTGCACACAGCCAGCAGTGTTGAAGGACCATTAACTCCAATAGTCTTTATTCGACATGAGTGTTTCCAATAATAAATCACTTCCTGGTCACGTGGTCATCATTCGCAGATGAAGCAGCTGCTAAATGGAGATTATGTTTTCTCAACTGTTGTTTCCTTTCAAACTCAGCTTTTGTTTCAGCTAACGTGGATGAGAAGAGTTTTTAAATCCTTTTAAATAAAGAAGATGGAAGTGAAATTTCAGCAACACATAATCACATAATTTGATCAAAATCTACAGAGAGGATGTCGTGTTAATTTCCTCAGCATTTCCTCTGCCTCTGCATTTTCAAGATCAAGAATGAACTTTTTTCTTTAACCAGGTTTAGTTTGTGTAGTCGTGACAGTGTCCATGAACCCCCCCAGTTACATAGAGCTTTCTCTTTTAATTAACGAGTCACATTAACACAACACCTCTGTACTTCCGTAGCTTTTTTCTGTCACTCTTACATTCTATCCACAAACTGCTTCTCCAGCTATTTGGGGCTTTTTGAAGCAATGTAAACTTATAAAATAGCAATCAGAAAGTACAGGAAACTAGACGGAGGCTCTAAGAATGCAAAGCTCTGCCAGGGCTGAGTGGCCACCTTTATCACCATGTTGCATACACATGTACAAGATCAGATATTTATCTGCAAAAGAACAAATAAATAATGTTGCTTCTTGTCTTTTCTTCTACTTCACTCTTTGCACTGTATCAGTGATATTAAATCTATGCTTTTCAACAATGGAACAAAAGAAATGTACCAACAAAACACAAATAACATCTGACTGATTCATAGAAAATGGTCCCTCCAATAAAGTCCCTAACCCTGGTCCCTGGCAACCACTCAGGACAATGGCGATATTAACCAGTCAATCACTGTTACCCTGTGCATGCAAATAAATCAAATAAATCAGCTATATGGAAGAATCTCCTCTCCTGGTCTATAAGTATTACAGTTTCTCTGAGTATTCTTGTTCTTCCCTCTGTGTGTGAATGTGTGTTTTGCTGCCTACGTTGTGTTCATCCATTAGTAGCGATATGTGTTGTGAAAGCTCCTAATGGCCCCATGATAACAGCTAAGGCATGATAGAAGAAACAATGCATTCCAATCAGTTTGTTATGTTGGGGAATATGCCGCCTCCCGCTTCCTCTTTCCTCTTCCCAGGAAACACTTTTATGTAAAGCTACTTACATTAGGTTTAAATTCAATTCATATACATTTAAACACGGTTTATTACAAAAATTATGTTGTTTTTTTGTATCAGTGTCAAAACACCTTTATATGTTATATTTTCTGAATCTTGGTGCACACACACACACACACACACACACACACACACACAAACATTTTATTTTGAGACCTGGAGGTTCCAGACCACTGGTTTAGCTGATGGAGCTAAAGTAAGAGCTGACTATTAGCCCTGGCTTAGACTAATCAATGACTTGGTGTGTGTGTGTGTGTGTGTGTGTGTGTGTGTGTGTGTCCATACCTAGAGAGGCGGGGTCCAGTTTGCTCAGGGGAGTCCAAACCACTGTATTGCTGTTTTTCTCAGATGGAGGATGATGAACTAAGCATCAAATTGAGTTGTTGAATTGAAAGAAATTTGTTTTTACGTAAGTATCTTTTTGCTATTTTTATTTGCTTATTTTCATATAAAATTGAATTTTGAGAATCATCCTCCATCTCAATTTTTCAGGCTCAATCAGTTAAAAGACAAGTTGGAACACAATGGCCTCAGAGGTGAGTGACACTGCATGCTTGGTTTTCTTAATGCTACAGAACTTCTTCTTTTAGTCCATGCCTGTGCTTTACCCTAACCCTCTTAACAGACAGACCATGCCTTCAAATTAATTAATTTATTTAGAAAAACAATATTTAAAGACGTAAACTTAAAAAAAAGATTATTTTCAGATAATTTGAGTATATATTGTGAAACTGCCTGACTCAAATGAATTGAGAGTATATAAAAGTGTATGAATAGATTTGTCAGATAGGGACTGAACCACTATGTGCAGGTTATCTGTTCATACACTCTCACACGTTTATACCCACAGCTTGTCTGTTGAGTCCCATCCTACAGACTTGTTTGTGTTTGGACTGTGAGAAAACACAAGAGCAGCTGTTAGAAACTCAGAGGACGATGTGCAGAATGTGTGAAATCTTCTTTTGTGATTGGCTTCGATCTATTGCAGGAGGAAATCAAGTAATAGTATTTTGATTTTACTTGCATTCATCTCATTAACAGAGGTTTTAGGTTGGCGATGGAACTTTTACTTTTCTTTCCTGATAGAAAAAAAAATCAAGAGTGTATCCACGTTAGTGGAAGGGGTGGGGGGGTGGAGGGGGCTAAGTGTTCATCTCCATTGTTGATCTGGGTCAGTGAGGGAAGAGCCGTCTTACAGCTGTTACACGCTGCTGGTGTGTGTGCATGGATATTATACATATGTAGTGTGTGCAGGCGTGTCTGTCTGTGTGTGTCTGTCACTCAACTCTTTGTTATTAATCTGAACCCTCTCTCTCTCTGCAGCGTTACGGCTTTGTCCTCGCGTGTCAGATTGTTTTACTGCATTTTCATTTTCATAACAGCATGAGCAGATGTTTTACTCTGTGTGTGTGTGTGTGTGTGTGACTGTTTGACCTGGATATTTAGTTAAATGGGACTTTATGGTCCCTGCAGCAGACATCCCATCAGAGCTTTAGTCGTCATGTTGTCGCTCTCATAGTGTGTATAATCAAAATGCCATTTGGGCTGTGAATTGTGCACTTTTTAATCAAAAACCCACAAGATTACATAAGACAATGAAATGATTTGTTCATTTATTCATATTAATCATCCAAAACTTTAACCATGAGTAAATCTGTCATAAGGTGGAATTCAAGATTTCCATTCAATTCAAGATTTTTAAAATTAAGATGAGACAGAATTGATATTCTCTAAGAAATCCAACATTACGTCTGTAATCTATATCAGATAGCATGGCTAAACATATGCATGAGAAAAGGTTCATGGTATACTGTTGTACTATATGTACTCTGTATAATCCCACAAGAAATTATTCTAAAACCTAGTAAACTTGCATGAAGAACATTGCAAATATCTTTAAATCAAGATGCATGAGAGAATGTGTGAGTGTGTGTGTGTGAGAGAGAGTGTGAGGCAGTAAGTGTCCACCAGGTGTCTCAGTATGTTTATATTATAAAATGGTGTCAGTAAAGGGAGTCTTCCTCCACATATCACGACTCATATCCCACCAGGACTCTCTTCATTCCCCCTCTTTTGCTCTGTATTTCTTTTCCTCCTCCCATTCTCCCTTTTCCTTCCATTTTAACAATTTCCCCAATTTTTCCCCCATTTTTTCCTCACCTCTCTTCTCTCTTTTCCATCTCCCCCATGCTCACCCATGACCGATGACTTCTAGTGACACCGTGTCCCCCACCCATGTCTCAGTGAGAAAAGATAGAGAGAAACGTGGAGAAGTAGCAGGTGAGAGATGAGAAGGGTTGAAAGGGAAAAAAGATGGAGAGAAACACATCTAGAAAGAAAGGCAGCACTGGAGGGACAGTAGGTCAAAGAGCGTTAGAGACCAATGAGGGCGAGAGAGAGAGATGATGTGTGTAAGAGAGAGAGTGAAAGGGATGGAGGGAGAAAAGGAGTGAGTGAGGAGGGGTTTAATCCTGCCTGGATTATGGTATAAACTGGTGCCAGAGAGCAGGAAGAGATATGCTGGAGAGAGAGGAAGTCCCACAATCCCTCCATCCATCCATCACTCCATCCATCCGACTCTCCGTCTGGTAAAGTTCTCCTACTGCTGCAGGATTTTTTTTTGGATCCATGAGATGAGGATGTGAGATCAGGAGAACAGGACGACAGAAAAATCTAAACTGCAGCAGGATTTCCTTTGACTGTGTGTGTCTGTCTTGCCTTGGGATTCAAAACAACACTGCCCGACAACATGGACTGAACTCATGTGAAGACACAAGTTTACCGGGACATCTCAAGTCTTCTTGGCTTCCTGTAGATGAGAGAGAGGGAGCGTGGAGGAGCGAGGTGGACGATGGGAGGAGTAGAAATAGGATTAAGAGGCGTAGAGAGGGAGGTGTAGGAATATGGCGAGACTCCGCTGTGACTCCTGGTGCGCAGAGATGACCTTTGACATCGAAGACACACCAGACTCTTCTATCCTGCTCAGCTGACATCCACTCGTCAGTCAGACACTTTTCTTTCATTGTCAGTCATATGTGAGATTTTCTTTCAATGCCTCAAAGGAGCGGTTTTAAAGCCTTGACAACATGCCACAGTGAGTAATCTTCTGTGCCATTGTGACTGCCGTAATTTGGAGAAGTATTTAATCTTCCTGCAACCCACTTTTTGCTCGATCCTGCGTTTCTGTTAAATTAGCAACCTTTTGTCTCGAGAGTTTAAGACAAGCAGCTCTTAAGTCTCTCCACTTAAGATCTGCAGCTTCTCAGGATCATTTGTTCATTCCTGGAAGTCAAGTTGAGTCCTAAATCTGTAACTGCTTTCAGGATGAAATACTTTATCTGTTGCTGGATGTTGCACATGACCTTTCTGGATCCTCCGCTCTTCCTAAGCAGGGTTTGGACTGTCACAGACACTCTCCATGTTGCTCAGTGACAAACTCAGTCTCCCTTCAAGTCTCTGGACATTTTCTAGATCTGAACTATACATGAATGTCTCGCAGAAAACTGAATTGGACCTTTACTTTTTAACAATTACTTTACAGGCAAGTTCACAAAAAAGTATATATATATATGTCCTTGTTGCCTTAATGGTTGTGGTCTTGTTTTGGTTTCATTTTGAAATGAGTCATTGTGGTATATGTTTATTGCAGCTACAATCAATCGTGTCTGGGCATTAAAACAATTAGTAGTATTGAAACCAGGGAGAATCATCAACCACGTCTGCAGTTCCCCTCTTTACTTTATTCAGCTTCACAGCATCTTTTAACTTTCAGCTACTTTACTTTAATCACTAACCAAATTAAAATATCTATAAAACTCCACCTTACGTTATAGTTTTTCAAAATCTGAGTCAAACAAACTGAAATACAAACATGAGCTTTTTATTGAAATGTCACAAAAGTGTTAAACTTTGTTGTCAATTCATCCGTATGTCCAGGACATAGACGGGATTGAAATGCTGTTTCTCTCTGATCCCCGGTGTAAAGATATAAGTACACAACATATTAAGTATTCAAAACATAGTACACAGAAGGACATAGTATGCAGTCATACAACACATTGTCAAGAGGATGAGAGTAGTGCAAACTGGAATAGTGCAAAAATGGATTGAGAGTACAAAAATATTTCATGGGAAGTAGTAAATAGCAGTTAAAGGTGGCAGCAGTTGTAGTGTGATAGAAGCATTTACAGTAAAATTACTACAATGTTAATAAATGCATCCGTAAAGCTGTGCATATTCTTCAGGTAGGATGCTGCCACTGTCACTTCTATCCAGAGAAAAAATGTATAGAGAAACTGAGTAAGGTAGAGATGAATTGTTGTTGACATGTTTCCATTGTTGTATCTGAGATATATTCTTCTGAAATTACATTCAAATCAAAGCAGATGTATTTAGAATACAGATCAGGATCAGTTTTTGTTTCAGCCACTTTATTACGCTCAGTATTTGCTGATTGTTGTAGATATTCCCTGACCCTTCACAGACCTTCCCCCCACAAGTCACCATCTAGTTCATTTCACCTTTATGGCTCCCATCGTTCTGCGTTTGCCCTCTGACCTGAGCACTCCAAACCTCACTTTGCATTGTCCTAATTCCACTCCTTTCTCTTTTGGAGCCAGCGAGCAACAATCACTGGACTGATGCAAATCGCAGCAGCTGCAGAGATGAACCGCTGGGGTCCGGGAAGAGCTGGGAATGCCACTAAATCGTACGGAAGTGGGCCACGCGGAGGGAGATTGATGATGCTGGTGTGGATTATCCTCTTCAGCTCGCTGTGCCTGATGGTCGACGGGCAGATGAAGATCCCACCAGAAACGTGAGTATACCGTGGCATCAGAAAAAAACCCTGACACTGACTTTTAACCCTGCGGGACTGAAACGCTTCAGTCAGCTCGAGGTCGGAGGTCAGTGTGAAGCTACATAGACACAGACAGTACTGAAGAAGCACTGGGTTGTATCCACAGCAAGGAATTGACATCATGAAATTATGCCATAATACTTGATAATTCATGAATTAATTCCAATAGGTGCAATAAATGAGATTATGCAAAACCTCTACCTGCATTAACCTGATATTTACCTGAGTACTATGACTGCATCCTCTCTAACAACTGGACGCAATTTAGCTGTAAACACGAGTCTGATGACCACATACTTCTTTATTAAGATATTACATCAGCTGTTTTACTGGCTAATTTCCGCGTGGACGCCCTGGAAAGCCCACACGCAGCGTTATACCCTCCTAGAAGCCACATGTCAGATGGATGAGTCAATAGCGCTCCGTCTGTTTTGGCTCCACACAGATATATATGGGCCATATGGGCACCTGCAGGCTCTAGGTAACTGCCAAAGAATCATACAGCTTCTCTACAGCGGCAGCCAAATAAGGTGAAATTGATGTATACATTTGAAAAGTATAATAACAAATCCACCGATTTTTATAAAAAAGTTGTTTTTGATTAATTCGTATTTTGCTATGGAATGGCTGAACACTACGTTTGTATTACCCGTGCATATTTCTAATGATGGTGAAGTTGGTTGGTTGATTGGTCAACTATTTCGGTCCAGACTGAAATATCTTAACAACCACGAGACCGAACACCGTGATATTTACTGACTAAACCATTAGCATTGCAATGTTGCCATGTTAGTTTACCACTAACATGGCTTTAAAGCTGAATTCACATTACATTAGATGATTAGTGTCTACAGAAAGAACTTATGGGTTCTTGATGGGTTCTTTTTCACACAAAGCATTCTTTTCTTTTTTTGTGAGGTTTTTCTCAGCTGAACATTTCTTTTGGGAACAAAACGCTGTGTTTGTACTCCAGAAACCAGACGAAGCTCTTTTCCCTGAGCAGTTTTCAAACCTCCTGCTGACTAGAAACACCAACAGATCGATGCTGCGCTGTCAGTCCATAATAGCCTATTAACTGTGTGTTAATGTGAAGGGGGGATGCTGAGAGGGTTGGAGAAACACAAAATGTGTGTTTATAGGAGTCGGTCAGTGGTCAGACACTCCGATTAGAGACCAACAGATTTATCAGCCACTCATGCACTATCAGGACAAGTTTTGTTTGCTGTCACTATAGGCTGGAGTGACTGAGGCAGATTAAAGCTCCAGGGACAGCAGGGTTCAAGAGGCCAATACAGGTCACTGAGTCCAAAGTCCTCCGCTCTGCCTGTGGAAGATTTGGCAGCAGGCTCCCTCTGGAAGTTAGCGAGTCTATGACTGGAACATCTTAGGCCAAGAAGGTCAGATCTTAAGTCTCTGAGGCAACATTGCTCTGCTGCCACGAGTCAAACACAGAATTGACATTGAGACATCAAAAGTCCCAGATCACGTTTCCTGCAGGCAAATCCATCAATTTGCTCAGAATGGCCTCCACATGCTGATCATATGTTTCATCCGGACACAAACAATCTACTGTATATATATATATCACAAGATTCACGGGCCCCTCAGTGGTTTACAGGTCTGTTGGTGCAGGAAAAAAAGCCACACCAGAAACAGAGGATCTGTATCTGTAGAATTATGAAAACATATGGTAAAATGATAACTAATGTCTCAAACAACTTTTACTTCTGCACATTTTAAAAACGTCCACATCAACAAGTTAACAAAACCAGCAGCCAGCGTTCAGCACTGACGCCGCCTGGCCACAACCCTGCCTGCTAACTAGCAGCAAGCTGGCTGACTCCCCATTGGTTGAGCCATCTGTCACATCCTGTCTTCTCTCTGACCTCTATTACCTTATCTTGGCTGCATTCACATGGAGGATTTGTAGAATTACTACATGTTATTGAACACAAAATAACCCTTTGACCTGGCAGCCCGACAGCTTTCACTGTCACCTTCCCGGTAATCTGTTTTAATCTGTTATAGGCGAATGCAGGGTAACCTCTTAACATGATTGGCTGTGCACTTTCATGGTCACCGTCAACACTTTTATTAGCCCTTCTTTCTTTTTCCAAGAAGATTCAGACAGAAGAGGATATCTTTGAGCACTGATCACAACTCAGGTGCTTTATTCTTTTATTGCAATGTAATAATCTACAATATAATTTGCTCCACAGCTGTGATTTTAAATGTAGGCATATTTATCCTGTTTACTGGGATGCATTTTATTAGCTCATATATTATATAGCACAGTAAATTTCTTAATGTGGCAAGGTGACACCGCTTTCCCCCCTGCACATATTTTATGTGCCAAAATGTGATTTAATGGCGCCTCTTTCCAATAAAACAAACATTTATAAAAGGATATGAGTTAAAGCAGCAGAGAATCTGGACAAAAATGTGTTCATTACATGGACTGAACTAATATAGCACTTATAGGACAGACTGGAGAAGACAGGGATTGAACTACCGACTAACCACTGTGAGCAACCCACTCTCCTGAGCCACATTACAATCCCATCTTTACACTCTAACTAAATTATTAAATGTCAGTGGAATAAATGTCGGGTAAAGACTTTTTGTTTCCAAAGAAAAACAAGTGTTAACAGTTTTGTGTACCTGTCCCTGGTTGTGTGTCCAGGGTGCAGCAGTGGGCCGTGTCCTTTGGCAAAGAGATAGCTGCTATGTCCGCCAGGTACTCTGGAGCTAAGCTGCTACAGAAGGTAGGAGTCCACACACACCCGCACTTTAACAAGACACTTTAACAGACACATACTGTACATACATGCTAAAATCACCTGCATGCAAACAAATAGTTATTTTTTACGTGTTATTCAAATGTTAGGATGCATCATATTGTGTTTCAGCAGTTCTCAGTTTCAGATGAATCGGTGATGTTGAGGAAGAAAAATGATACTTGTGAGTACCAGGGCAGTACCTGAGTATGTACAGAGGTTGTACAACACCTTCCAGTTTTAATATATTACCAACTATATTAAGTTTCAGAGAACAGAATTTGCGTTAGTGTCATTTCCGCAAACACAAATTTGTAGTTACAGTTTTTACAGTTCGTCTCTGAACGACACAGACATGGAGAGAAAACTAGTTAAATGCAGAAAGACAAACGCACTTCAGGTTATAGATCACATGTCCTCATCGCGCCAGACTGAGAAGGGCGGGGTCTGATTCCATCTCTCCTCCTCCTCCCCTCTGCCGCATCAGCCAATAAGAGCACAGCTGACTGGCATACATTTGCTATCCAACATCTGCACATGGCCCAGAGACCACTGTGATGACACACTTAATTCAAATACATTTGACACATATAAACACAAACGCACGCTTATATTTTCTGCTTGATTAATTCTGTGATATATATATTTTTTTTTTTTATCATACACAAACACATACACTGAAATGTCATGCAAACACACTATAGCCCATTGCACTGGTTTGGATTGTGTTAGTTTCTTTTGTGTTTCTTACCAAAGAGGCTCAAGAGGAGGTTTTGTTTGTGTGTGTGTGTGTGTGTGTGTGTGTGTGTATCTTTTAGTAATTAGGATGTGCGGTCTTTCTCTACATGCCACCCTGTAGAATCCCTAGCAGGCCTGTTCGCCATCTGCCACAAACACACACACACATATACAAACTGTGTTCATAGAGACATGCATCTACTAACTATCTGCATCTACAGCGTATGTGTTCCTTTATTTGTATTTTACCACACAATTATCTATCGTAGAGCGCAAATATCCCCAAAACCAGCTGTACAGACATTAAACCTGCACCAATTCCTTTTAAAACAAAATTATGTTGTTTTTTGCTTTATTGTTTATACAGTAAGGTTTAACCTTGATGGTAGAAACAAATGGGAAGTAAAAGGAATACAAATACTGGCAGTAATAAGCAATGGTACAGTTTGTTAGGCTACTACATTACAATATATTGTCACAGTAATTGTTGCAGGTACTATAGTGACAGTATCTGATATTATAGTGTTGTTTAGACATATTTCTCCTAGTTCCTAGTTTTATTTCACCAGCAGTTTGTAAAAAGCATAAATACAGTGCTTTGTTTAATCCTGGAAACGAAAAGCCATTAATCACCCAGCTCTGTCTAATCAATGGCTTTCTCATTATCTGTGGAAAATTTAGTGACGGTGTCTTTTTGCCTGAGTAAACCAGAGTGGATATTCAAAATGCTGCAGCTTTACTGAGGCTTCAAACAGGATTTTATGTGTATTTGCTGTTGGCTCTTTATCATCCTTTCTCTCTCTTTTTTTTGTTTTTTACATTTCTTTGTCTCTCTAATCTGTTTCATTTACTCTGGCTTGCTTTCTCCTGTAAAGGAAATTAAAAAGCATCATCAGTGGAAGTGACAGTAGAAAATATCTTTGTTCACTTTGACAAATAGGACATTTAGTTATTTTCCCAAATTGGTTGTGAAAGGGGTTTTCTCTCTTTCTGCTTGGGATTGTGCAGACTGAGGAATCTTCATATACAAGCTTGTGTCTTTGACATTTGGAAATCACAGTGTTGAGCGTTGAGGATAATAATCTCACTAAAGGTGAAAGAAAATGAGTGCAGCTGGTTTTAATGGATACATTTTCTTAAATCAATGTATAACAGTCTTGAAAGTGTGCAGAGGTGCAGCGTAGAGTAGATGTTTGTGTTGTGGCATCACTCTGTCATAATTCAGATTAGAGGGGGGTTGTGGAGTCAGGGCTTGACCCACATCTATTCTACAATCTTTGTGTGTGTGTGTGTGTGTGTGTGTGTGTGTGTGTGTGTGTGTGTGTGTGTGTGCCTCTGTGTTTGTTATTCTCCATTCTGTATTAAGCCGAATATTGTCCACAACCTTTAAATCTTTAAAGAAAAGAAGGTTTGCTCCTTTATAGAATATGATCTAAGTATATACAGAATGTAATACATAAAATCTGTGTCTGTTTTGAAGAAATTCAAGGACATCGAGGGCATGGTGAAGATTGAGGAGGTGGACGGAGAGGAGCTGGTTAAAAAGTTTGCAGAGGAGATGGAGGAGATGCTTGGGAGGAAGATGAAGTCAGTGAAGGTAAAAACAGCAAATCATTACAGAGGGAATCACAGCAGCAGGTTAAGTCTGTGTAAAGATGTTTTAGTTGCTTCCTACATGGTCCGAATGCTTCTCTAACCACTTGTATTTCATCACAGAGGTTAGCAGAAGCAGCAGAGGATGCAGATTTATACCACGAGTACAATGAAACACTGGAGGTATGTGACAGTGTGTATGAAATCCATCTCTGTGCACAGATTTTGACTTTAAAGCTGATGTGAAATATACATTTACTTTAA